TCAGAGCAGGTATTAATTGGCCAGGTGAGGTCTCCCACCTTGTAAGATCAAAAGTGGCCTAAACAGAACTATAATTTCTTTTTAGAAAAAAGTTTCTGAGGGCTATCTAGTTAGAGCCTTGGAGTAGGGAAACCCACTAAGGTAACACAGAAGTACTAGACATAGGTAATTTACCATAAACTTAACAATTGGAGTAGTTCATAGTCAAAGGTAGGAGAAATTATCAAAGGAATTAGTATGCAGGCCTGGCCCGGTGTCTTGGGTCAGCTGTCTTACCTCAGATCTCGTCTCCTTCTCATCCTGGCCTGGTAGCTTTTTCTCCATTTGGGCATTGTTTTAAGGTGAGAAGTGCTCTATAGGCCAGTGCACTGCAGGGGCTGTTTCTGATTGGAAATGAGTCCGAAAGACCGTTTCCTTCAGCTTTGGTGTGTATGGTCTAGTTAGTAATACCTGATAAAGGGTCCTTCCATTCAGGTTGGAGACAGTTCTTTAAGTCATGCCTGTTCCAGTATGTATAATCCCCTGGCTGTAGGTCATGGGGCATTGGAACTTTACCCAAGGATAGATTACTGAGCTTCAGAAACAAAGCTAGGTTATCCTTTTCATAATTCAATTAAACTCTACAGCAATGTGGCATAACAGCAAAGAATGATCTGGGAAGTGTCTTAGTAAATATAGACCTCAATTAACAAAGCTAGAATTTAATATCCACTAAAATATAATATTTTTCTCTCTAAAGTTACCCTCAATTTTCTCAAATATAGCCAAAGCAGGATTAATTTGTTTACAAGTTCAGTCTGATTATTTGATCATATAGGCTTTTCTTAAATTGGCTGTGTTGGAACTTATAATAAAGAGTCTCAGGGTAGAATGTTAATAAGGTTTTCAAAGGTCAAGAAAGCCACATCAATGGCTTATCATAGATTTCTGCCTAACAGATTTAGGTAAATTTTTTTCTCTTTAAAATCCTTAAAATACCTTGAGTTTCCTTTATCTATTAGGAGATGATCTTCCTAATTTGTCTGATAGAGCCACTGGGGACCTAAGAGATTTTAGTCTCTTGAGGGATCAGGTAGAGAGAAAAGGTAACTGTTCCAAGTTAGATTACATAGGTATAATTTATCAGATTGCCGTGAATCATAACTAGCTTAAGGAGAAGAGTCTCTTTATGTCTGGGAAACAGGTTAAAAGCCAGTAGTATTTCAGACAAAATCAAAAATTATAACCATATTCATCAGTTTACTCGGTCCCATGTAACTAATTCTTTTAATCAGAGTTTTCATTAGAAAGTTAAAATTTTTTACCCAGTTTAACTTAGTGCTATAGTTTGAAATTTATTAGAAACCAGTATATATACTTGAAGAGAAAGCATTTTGCAATATCATCAGAAGAAAAAAATTAACTGTCTATTAATGACAAATGACTTAACAGCACAGTTAAACACCGTTACACTATAATTGATAAAGAAACCTGGTCACAATAACCAGATTTATGACTGGTAACATTTCAGATATACCAGAATTTTAGGGACTCCATATAATTTCTTGAATATCTATATTAATAATACCTTCTCATACAATATAAACTAGGAAGCTTTACTATTCATTTGACAATACTTCCCATGTTATTTAACATGCCAAATGAAACTTACTAGTTTAAAATCTCTCTTTGGGATGTTTCAGGGGCCCTCAGTAGCACCCCAAAGTTAACCTGAGATTAAAAGAACTTTAATTAGAATTTGATATTTGGGCAGCTTGTTAAAAGATTTCAAAACACTTCGTCAGATAAACATATAGATAACTGTAAAGTAGTACTTATTCATTAACAAGAAAATATTTCAAAGGTAAAGGCAGAACAGATCAGTTAAGTGCTATAAGAAGCATTA